TACCCATGCCTTACCCTCACTAGTTGATATGCTTCCGACCTTTATTCATATAGCAGTATTGACAAATTTGCTTATACGGCAGTCTACTACACAACACACATCGTCAAATTATAGGGCAATTTAATTAGAACAAATATATATTTCACAATCTTTTGACAACTTTGAAGTATCGCAACCAATGTAAAAAAATTATTTAGTATGTTTATTTTTCTAAAAACTAAAAAAATGCATGTTAATCAATTCGTGGAATTAAGACAACATGACGTCACACTGTCTCTACCCCCCCTCCCCCTCGTCACAAAAGTCTGAACCCCTCCCCCCCCCTAGGCGTGTGACGTCATTTATGGACGACCACAAAGTACAAATTTTTTTTTATAAAAAACGTTTTAATAACAAGCTTTTATATACTAATGCACTAAAAAGTAGAAAATAAATTATAGACTACTATTTAAATAACTATAAAGAAAAGCGTGGGTCTTTTCCTAAACATTAGTAAAAATATCCAATATATATATATATATAATTAAAATGACCCACGCTTTTCTTTATAGTTATTTAAATAGTAGTCTATAATTTATTTTCTACTTTTTAGTGCAATAGTATATAAATGCTTGTTATTAAAACATTTTTCATGAAATTTTTTAACTTAAATACTCTGCTCAGATCTTTCTCGCAAATGCTGTGAAACATGGTAAATTTTGCGATTCTGGGTTTGTATCTTTAAACATGTCTCCGAACTATCTATGGTTAGATATCCTATCCGGTAACAGTGCCATACATTCTATCAGAGTTTCTTCCAAGCACCTCTTCAGGGGGGGGGGGGGGGGGCGATAGGTGAAAGCGTGCGGCGTCAAAACGGCCCCGACATAAGAGCCCCGTCCAATTGACCCCGACAAAATGGCCAGCGACATATAGACCTTGTCATAAAGGCTCCCGATAAAAGGGCTCCAGTCAATAAGGCTCCTGACAAATAGTCTCCCGTCATTTAGTTTTTCCACAAAACGGCCCCCGTCATTACGACTCCCGACAAATAGGCTAGCGTCCTTTTGGTATACGACAAAAAAGATCCTGTCAATTTGGCTCCAGAAAAAAAGGACCACTGACAATACCGTTTCTAAGTCTCCCGGCAAAGCGGTCTCATTGAATATGACACCTGCCAGTGGGACCCCTTCACCAATATTCTTTAGAGTTAGCTTATCCAACACTCTTAAGTAATATAATGTATGCATCTCTTGTTCGGCAGGCCTTATTTTTATATTAGTTTATCTATTATAAAATGTATGTTTTAATTTAAGGGTCATCTATCTAAGACTTCCATAATTGAGTCGGTTACAGGCTGATCCAACTCAGTTTGTGGGGAGAAGGGTCCACGCTGTACCTTCCTACCTCCAGTACGCTTCTAGGTTATCAAAACAAAATGTCGTTATCCTGTAAACATCATGTATATCGTACATTTTCACTTCTGTGCTCGCTTTTATGCAACAGATCTTTACTGTTGTAAGTTAAACATTATCAAAATTTTAGAATTGATAGATTTTAGCTTTTAATGGCTTGATTTGTTTGAGAATTGATGTTGGTTCATGAAAAACAATTTCATTAAGGCATTAAAAAGAGGTTATAGTAGTAGTGGAGGTAGGACAAAATGGTTACTTTTATGCCAATAGTGGTCATACCATTAGTTTGTCTGGAGCCAATATGTCGGGAGTCATTTTGTCGTTAGCCAATATGTAGGGAGCCCATTTGTCGGTAGCCAATATGCCATGAGCCCATTTGTTCTGAGCCCTTATGGTCGGGAGCCGCTTTGTCTAGAGCCAATATGTCCTGAGCCTATTTGTCGGGAGCCAATATGTCGAGAGTCCAATTGTCGGGAGCCTAAATGTCGGGAGCCAATATAACGGGAGTCCATTTGACGGGAGCCAATAAGTCGGGTCCCTTTTGACTGGGTCGTTTTGTCGGGAATAGAATTGACGGGGTCATATTAACGGGGCCGATTTGTCCCGGGCCGTTTTGACAGGGTACCAGGTGAAAGGTGTAGTAAAGCCAAAAGGATTAGGGTTAACCAAACAAACCCACATACATTTATTTATATATATATACATATATAGATTGGTCTACATCTATATAACAGCCGATCCAACACAATTCTCATACAACAGACATGTTTTTGTTCTCATTCAGCCTTGTTGTTGAGGATCTAATAAAATAGTAGTGTAGGCCTAATAAAACGGAATAAACGCTTTCTGATTTATTAATAGCTGAAAATATTTATTATGTCTTAAAAATAAACCGGGAGTGATCTCCCCTAAACTTTTTCGAATATTCTTATATAAAACAACAGGGGATGGGAACTCGGGCTATAGACATGATTTTTAATCCATTTTAAATACTTAAAGTTTTAAAAATAGAATAAAATCTCGTAGACAAAAGAATTGCAAACCAAGTGAACGCCAAATAAAAAACGTGCATAATAGTGGGCAATATTATTAGTACTTTAAACATTTACATTAGTTTTTTTGAGAAATCGGAAGTAGCGTAAATTACTACTTCCGGTCAACGGAAATTACTCAAAATTTAACAGAAGGTAGAAAATTAGATCTTTAACTCGCGTGTGAAATTTCATTTATCTATCTGAAATAGTACTCAAGTTATAGGCTTTTGAAAAATTCAAAGTAGAAAAAGTACCACTTCCGGTTATCGAAAATAGCTCAAAAGTTGATACGGATCTACGATTTTGATAAAATACTTATATATGAAATTTCATCAACCTAGCTGTAACGGTACTCAAGTAATCGTGTTAATACACAGACACACGCAGACATACGGACAGAATTGCAAAGCCCAGTTTTTCAGACTGGATTACGCATAAAACCTCTTAATTTTGATAAATCTGGATTGATAATTTTTGCCCGATTAAAATAAGTCCTCTATACTTCGGATGTGATAAAGGACCGAGGTGTAATACGGTGAAAATTGTTAAAATTTCAAGAGATTTTTGTGCACGATTACAATACCTTCTCTATACTTCGTATATACGAGAAAGTAAAAAGATAAATTATACATCAATAATAATCATAATAATAAATTGTATCTTCTGTTTTAAAAATTTAATCATTTTCAGCTACATTAATTAATACATTTTGTTGCTCACTTCAATTATCATAATTATGATTAACTTAATGGGTTATATAATTATTTATACAAAATTTAGAATTACATAAAATGGAATATTCAATATAGAAAAATTTTGAGTAAATATTACTTCAATGATTCAAATTATAATTGTACATTGTTGGTGTCTATTAGTGGTTAGCATTATTTTATGGGTAATGTAAAGGGTAAGAATTTAGACATAGTTTTTTCCAAAAAACTTGAACAAAGCTAGCCAAAACACCTAGTACAATATAATAAATGTGCTATGGAGACTCATGACATCCATTCTTTCCATGAAGTGTTTCTTCCTTTGTGTGAATATTTAAAAATTATCATGTTAAATAATTTTTTATTAACTTTTTTAACATTGTTTGAATTTCATGTTTACAATATACACGCACACAATTTAAAAACATTAGTTATAGATAATACATTCATTTCACTTATCTTCAAAATGAAATGTCTAGATAACATATTAATCATTAGCAATACTTTGTATGACAAATAATACTATGAAGAGTATTTTATCCTGTACAGTGTTTCTTCCAGAGTTTTTTTACTATATATATTTTTACTATATAAATGCCATCTCTAGTTTTTTTTGAGAAATCGGAAGTAGCGTAAATTACTACTTCCGGTCAACGGAAATTACTCAAAATTTAACAGAAGGTAGAAAATTAGATCTTTAACGCGCGTGTGAAATTTCATTTATCTATCTGAAATAGTACTCAAGTTATAGGCTTTTGAAAAATTCAAAGTAGAAAAAGTACCACTTCCGGTTATCGGAAATAGCTCAAAAGTTGATACGGATCTACGATTTTGATAAAATACTTATATATGAAATTTCTTCAACCTAGCTGTAACGGTACTCAAGTAATCGTGTTAATACACAGACACACACAGACATACGGACAGAATTGCAAAGCCCAGTTTTTCAGACTGGATTACGCATAAAACCTCTTAATTTTGATAAATCTGGATTGATAATTTTTGCCCGATTAAAATAAGTCCTCTATACTTCGGATGTGATAAAGGACCGAGGTGTAATACGGTGAAAATTGTTAAAATTTCAAGAGATTTTTGTGCACGATTACAATACCTTCTCTATACTTCGTATATACGAGAAAGTAAAAAGATAAATTATACATCAATAATAATCATAATAATAAATTGTATCTTCTGTTTTAAAAATTTAATCATTTTCCGCTACATTAATTAATACATTTTGTTGCTCACTTCAATTATCATAATTATGATTAACTTAATGGGTTATATAATTATTTATACAAAATTTAGAATTACATAAAATGGAATATTCAATATAGAAAAATTTTGAGTAAATATTACTTCAATGATTCAAATTATAATTGTACATTGTTGGTGTCTATTAGTGGTTAGCATTATTTTATGGGTAATGTAAAGGGTAAGAATTTAGACATAGTTTTTTCCAAAAAACTTGAACAAAGCTAGCCAAAACACCTAGTACAATATAATAAATGTGCTATGGAGACTCATGACATCCATTCTTTCCATGAAGTGTTTCTTCCTTTGTGTGAATATTTAAAAATTATCATGTTAAATAATTTTTAATTAACTTTTTTAACATTGTTTGAATTTCATGTTTACAATATACACGCACACAATTTAAAAACATTAGTTATAGATAATACATTCATTTCACTTATCTTCAAAATGAAATGTCTAGATAACATATTAATCATTAGCAATACTTTGTATGACAAATAATACTATGAAGAGTATTTTATCCTGTACAGTGTTTCTTCCAGAGTTTTTTTACTATATATATTTTTACTATATAAATGCCATTACGTTGGGGGGGGGGGGGGGGGGGGGGGTAGAGATGCCTGGAAGAAACTCTGATCCTGTATGACAAACATTAATGGTGTGTATTTAGCCTCCACAATGTGGTATTAGTACAAAAGCAAAAATTTTATATATAGATAATTAAAGATCCTTGTGAAAGAGAATTTAATGACCAACAACACATTCAGGTGGCTTAAGTCCTGAGTGAAATTTTCTGTGTGTAGATAAACTAGACTTACGAGCAAACTTTTAATTACAAATGTCACATTCATATTGTCTCTGGTAAATGAATATTTTTATGTTTAGATAAACTACCTTTATAATTAAACTTTTTGTGACACACATCACATTCATATGGTCTCTCTGGTAAATGAATATTTTTATGTATAGATAAATTACCTTTACAACTAAAATTTTTATGACACACATCACATTCATATGGTCTCTCTGGTAAATGAATATTTTTATGTGTAGATAACTGACCTTTAAGACTAAATTTTTTATGACACAAATCACATTCATATGGTCTCTCTTGTAAATGAATATTTTTATGTTCTGATAGACCATATTTATGACTAAATTTTTTGTGACACACATCACATTCATATGGTCTCTCTGGTAAATGAATATTTTTATGCTCAGATAAATAACCTTTATTAATAAATTTTTTATGACACACATCACATTCATATGGTCTTTCTGGTAAATGAAATTTTTTATGTTGTGATAAACATTTTTTAGATTTAAATATTTTGTGACACACATCACATTCATATAATCTATCTGGTAAATGAATCATTTTATGTTCTGATAAATTATGTTTAAGCCTAAATTTTTTATGGCACACATCACATTCATATGGTCTCTCTGGTAAATGCATATTTTTATGTTTAGATAGATTACCCTTTTGACTAAATTTTTTGTGACACACATCACATTCATATGGTCTCTCTGGTAAATGAATATTTTTATGTTCTGATAGATTACCCTTTTGACTAAATTTTTTGTGACACACATCACATTCATATGGTCTCTCTGGTAAATGAATATTTTTATGTTCTGATAGATTACCCTTTTGACTAAATTTTTTGTGACACACATCACATTCATATGGTCTCTCTGGCTTATTAATTCCAGAATGAATATTTGTGTGTGTGGATAAACTAGACTTTGTGGTGAACTTTTTAGACAAACTAGACTCATTGTATACATGTTCTAGGTTTATTTTGTTAATCTGTTCACCCTGACTGATCATAACAACTTCTTGCTGATGAAAATCATGACCATATGGATTCACCCTTGTGTGAATGTTTATGTGTTGTTTAACATGATCAAAATGGAAAAATCTTTGACAACACATATCACACTTGTATGTCTTCAGTCCCTTATCATTGATCTGATATTCTGTTGGGACATTATCAATCAATTTTGTATGCAATAACTTGAGTTCTTTTAATTCATTTTGAAGATCTGATTTTAAAACTGCTAAATTTTCTTTAAAATCAGTTGATTCTGGTGGAGAAGAAAGTTGTTGCTGTGCTTTGAAACCATTTTGTTGTTCATTCTCCAAAGATGAAATTGTTAATATCTCAGGTTTTATATCTTCAAAAATTGAAAATGCTGTTGATATATTTGGTTTCATGTCTTCAGAAGATGAAAATGATGTTGGGTTATCTTGTTTCATCTCTTCTAAATTAAACAAAGGCTTTGTTTTATCAAGATTTTTATCTTCTAAAGCTAAAAATGGCATTGTTTCCTCCAAGTATTTGTCTTTAACAGTTGAAAATTGTGTTGATACATTTTGCTTTATATCTTCAGGATTTGAAAAGAGTGTTGATATATTTGTTTGTACTCCTTCTGAACTTGAAATAGCTGATGTTATATCTGATTTCATGTCCATAAATGTTATGATTTCGTCACTCAATTCCTGTTTAACCATAATTGAACTCTCCCAAACTATACCATTAGTGTCCTTTGTGTTTTCCATAGCTTTAGATTGATGAATTATTGCAGAAAAAACTGAAATAAAAATAATCTTCATTAGAAATTAGAAACTAAAATTTATTTTTTTAAATATATTGGTTGCATTTAAAAAATGTTTAAATATTTATGTCTTAGCCTTACTATATTATTATAACACCATAGAATTCTTTTAAGTCATAAAAAAGATCAAACAGGCCTTATTGAGCTATGATATTATCTGTTTTAATAACTGAAGTGTCTTTTATCAATCAGAAGTAATATGAATAGATAGATTAATAGTTAAAAACAGTGTTCACGCCTTAGCACACCATGGTTGGGTGGCACAGTGCACATCTGTTAACGAATATCCCCAGAGTTTGAATCTCAGTAGGGAATCATATATTCATGTTTTCTTTGTCTTTTGCCTTTATTAATGAAAGGGCGACCCATTTTTATAAGCCATATTGTTTTTCTCTATATAATTAGTTACAGTAAAAATCTCCTTTTTAAAAAAAAGCATACCTTCAAACTAAAAGAAGCCTGCAAAATTATTAATGCAAATTAATCTAATATTAATTATTAATAGGCCTATTATTTTATCATTTTTTAAATTAATAGTCCTTGATAAGATTTTCGAGAAGGGCTAGTAGTCACTAAATAAGCATTAATATTAATTATTAATCAATAACATTACTATTAGGCTAATGTATGTATATTTTGAATATTTTCGGATCTTATATATAAATATAAAAAACGAGCCGACCCGCGGCGTATCATATGCCATTTTTTAGTTGTTTTATTTTCTACTTTTCAGTAATTCATAATTTGTGAATTCGACAGTACCAATGCAGCCACTGAAAATATTTGCTTTAAAACACTACCCCCCCCCCTTTCCCCTAACCCCGACCCTACACCCCCCCCCCCTTCCCGTGAGGGCAGCCTCCTCTTAGTTATTTCTTAGTTACCTCCTGTAAGTTAAAAATCGAACTAAATTATCTGCCCCTAATAGAAACCCGGCTCTACGATTTGTAAACATTTAGCTTTGTAAACATTTAGCGTGACCACAGCTCACCAGACTGCAAGGAGGCGCTTGCAGCTTGTTTTCTAACGGCTCCCAGAAGAGAATTATATATATAGATAGATAGATTGTAGATCTATTAGGCCTACTAATTTCTATTACCTACCTAAAAACCTACATCTACATATTTAAAGTAAGGTATCAAATAGTAACTATCCATTTTAGCTTTAGATATATATAAAATTATTTTAAAATCGGCCAAAGTCAAAGCTAGTAAATGTGACAGAAACCCTGTCATAGTCCCATAACTTCATAAGCCAATGGCACGATTATAGATACCGGTGTCCGATAATGGAATCATCTTTAAAAAAGGGGTGTTGGGTTGTAAGTAGTATAGTAATCTTGACTAGATTTATGGATAGAAATTAAGGTTAGGCTTATGGTAGGACCAGGGTTGGGGTTAGGGTTAGCATTGACATTAGCCAGCCATGTGTGCATTTAGTTAACTACCAGTAAACCAACACCCCCTTTTTAAAAAAGATTCCATTATCGGACACCGGTGTAAACATTCTCCCAGCCAATGTCCTGACCCTAATTTTGAATTTTCAACCATAGGCCTAATAGAGTCTTTGCATATGATACCACGTCATGCGGTGTACAGGTTTACATTCAAAATGATGATCTGTGGTGTTAAAGGTTGTGATACTCGAAGTGGCAGATCTAAAGGGGTTCCTTTATTACGACTACTAAGGGTTTTATTACACCAAGGTGTCAGAGATCGACATCGATCAGATTGTAGACGCCATAAATTTTTAGCCAATAATTATCGCAGCAATGTGAGCGAAGCAGCGGCAAAAAACATGCGAATCTGTTCTCAACACTTTGTTTCAGGTAAGGACAGTAAAATAATAAACTTCATTTAATTATATACGATAACTGTTAATAAAACAAATATGCTCGACCTTCACTAATACTAATAGTAAAAGACAAAGTCAAAAGTAATAATAAGAATAAGATTTAATTGTAATAACAGTGATTTGATATTTAGATCTAGAATCAAGCTCTAACTCCAAACATGGCGTAAACAAAATTCAGACCACTGATCTAGATTTAGGGTGACTGGCTCCCAGAGGCGTATCCAGGTTTTCGTTGTAGGGGGAGCGAAAAGAGCAAAAAAGGCGCCGAACTTTTAATACGTTCTATATCCGTGTAATATATATATATATATATATATATATATATATATATATATATATATATATATATAACTAGCTGTATGTCATTACTTCGCTATGATGTAAAATAAATTGAAAGTAGCACTCTGAAGAAATAAGAAAAAACACACAATGTAGGCCGACAAAACAAAAATTGTATCAATATACACACACTACAGCACAACCAAAAACAATGAACGTAACACAATCTGTTTTGTAATACTTGTAAAAAAAATTCTTACATAATAATTCCTGGGAAATTATTTAAGACAAGTGAAATAGGGGAAATAATCACTGTCTTAATATAAATACCTATATATCTACACATTTAATTATAAATGTCAAAACAAATAAATAATTACTTTAGAATATAATGAAATTGTTCAACACTATTTGTGTTTTTTCTATAATCAGTTTTTAATATATCGTCATCTTAAATGCTAAAGTATTACAGCATAATGAAAGTTTTTAAAATCAGAGTTGGTATAAAACCACGCTTTTCGATATAAAAGAAGAACATTCGGAATAACAGCCTACATTTAAATAACTATCGGTCTTTGTAACTGTTTCATATAATCTGTAATCGTAATCACTATCGCCCAAACTGTAAGAATACTACTACTTCATCGTGATGACGTTGTTGACCTTGTCAAAATGTCCCCACCACTACGCAGTTTTCTCATAAGTAAATTTAAATAGAGGTGCCACATCAGTTGTATTTGTTTCTGTATTGTAATTTAATTTTTTTAAATTAATCACACTATTCAAACTGTATATATAAAGTAATTATGTGTGAAGTTTTATGTATAACATTTTCTAATTCAATTATTCGTAAGCAAATACATTATACAGTGGCCTTAAACTTAGCACCACAATTGCCAAGTGGTACTACCCGTAGAGGTTTTTTAAACATTGCAATGCATCGTAATGGTTATTTTTAGAATGGCAAACTGATGCAGCTGTTAATACGTGTTGTAAACGTAGACACTACTAGACTAGTAATATTGCTTAATTGGTGCATGAAAAGAAATCTTGTGATTTACATAGATGTGCCGACCAAAAATATTTTTTAACAAATATCACTGTTTAAAACTTTGAGTTTAAAAAGTTTCCAAAAAGGCGCCACTTTGCTGAAAATGGCCAGAGGGGGAGCGGCCGCTCCCCCTGCTCCCCCCCCCTGCGTACGCTACTGCTGGCTCCGCTGAGTAGACATAGAATCTAGAATCTACCTATTTAATTATAAAATTTAGATCTACATTCGATTCAAAATACACCCATAATAAATCAAAAGTAGTCATAATAATAATAATAATAATAATAAAGCATTTGTCTCTAAGAATCTAAAATCTTGCTCTATTATCTAATCATTTATTTAGCCAACGAAATTATCTGAAATTGAAATAGATTGTATGACTAGACATAGATCTAGAATCTGATACTTAAATTAAATTTTAAAAAGTTTATACAAGCATTTAGTTGATATTATTGTAGTAGAAGGCTTTAATAAATTACTAAGGCCTACCTACTTTGTGTCTTTTTACAGTAATATGTATCTGATACTGGACTGAGTTTAAATTCAGATGCATATCTAGTAATTAGTCTACTATTATTAACTATTAAGTTTATGTAGCTTAGAAGTAGAATCTAGATCAGGGGTCTCCAAACTACGGCCCGCGGGCCGCATGCGGCCCGCTATGTCCTCTCATCCGGCCCGCGGAGATCTTTTTGTCCACGAAAAAAAAACGTTTGTTGGTGATGGCTGAGGAAGTTTGCCCAGAAAAATCAAAGACATGTTTGGAACTAACTGGCCCCCGAACTAAAATTTGATAGTTAATGCGGCCCTCGGACTGAAAAGTTTGGAGACCCCTGATCTAGATCATGGGTTCCCAACCTGGGGGTCGCAAAGGGCTTTCTGGGGGTGGGGGGGGGGTGGGTCGCCAACTGGTGGACTAAACTCTAGCAATGAATAAAAAACATAAGTATTTAGAAAAAAATTCGGCATTACTAACATCACTGGAAACAGAATAGAGAATAAACAATTTGTACTGTGCAAAGTTGTTCTTATTCAGGAGTCTATGAAAACTTCCAAACGTCAATTTGAGACGAGTCATTCGGAACACACCAACAAAAGAAGTGTAGTTCTTTCGTCGGCATGAAGTTAGTTGCAAACGTCAGAGACTTGATCGAACAGAACGTTTTCATCAAGAAATCACAGCATTAGTTCAAGCATCATATGAAGTAGTATTAGAAATTGCCAAGCCAAAAACCTCTCACACAAAGGAGAAAATCTCATCAAACCATGTATCCTGAAGATGGTAAAATTAATTCTTGGGGATTCCAGTGCAGTAAAGATGCAACAAATATCTCTCTCTAATAATACTATGCAGCGGCTTATGTTAAAAGACAAATTTAGAATCAAATCAAGCTTTCACCATTGCTTGATTTTCAAGTTGACGAATCGACAGACGTGAGTTCGTGTTCGCAGTTGCTTGTCTTTGTGAAATATATTCATTCAGATGTTAGCAAATAAGTGTTGATGTTTTGTGAAGGTATCATGGAGAAAATAAATACGTTTTTTTTAAACTGGAGGATTAAAATGGGAAAGCGCATGTGGGGCTTGTACGGATGGTGCGTCATGTTTCAGTACGCTGGCTGTCAATAGGAAATGTCAATCGTGTTTTTGAATTGAAAGATGAAATCAAGATGTTCTTGGAAGTGCAAGGAAACAAGACCTTTTGATATACTTTAGCGACATGCTGTGGTTGGAGAGAGTATCATGCCTAGCAGATATATTCGAACATCAACATAAGCTTAACCTGGTAAAG